GACGCCCATCGACACACAGCACAAAATCACAGTTAGGGAAACTGATAACGTATTCTGATCTACCTCAATTACCATCAACTTCAATAATATATCAAGGCGGAGGAATTGAGAAAGAAGAATTGCGGCAGAAATCCAAAGATATTGTTGTTACAGGAGTTTGCGGTCTGTGAGGTTGATCAATTATAGTATCTACATCTATCGGGTCTTCTGTTTCTACATTATTGGTAACTCTGTTGGTTTGGCAAAATTATGAGAATGAATATTCGGGTTAGGAAGCGACTGAGAATCATTAAATAGAACAATATGGATATTACTGTTATTGTTTGACATCGAGGCTGAGACAGAAGGGTTGATACGATTATTGATATTGACTATTGATATTGATTATTGATATTGGTTATTGATATTGACATTGATATATTCCTATTTTTAATATGTAATAATTATGTTCCATATTGATAGTGTTGATTATATTGATGATGTCACAAACACTCGTATACATTGTTGCTATAGTAGTCAACTTACTTCGATTTCTTGCGTCTGTGAAATATTTTCTTTGCGAATTGCCCAAATTTTTTCATTTCTATTATAATGAGTGTTCTCGATGCACTTGTCTACAATATTTATACACAATTTTCTTTTTCAGAGAACGATTTCCCTTTAAATTATTAAAAACCCTGTTTCTAATTAACCAAATATCTCTTTCTCTGAAATAAATTATCGATAAGCTCGCAAAAAGATTGAAGAGAAAAAGGTCTCAGCCCACTGTGAAAAAAACGTTTGCAGTGATCACTCGGGATGCAGTGTGACTAGCACTGCATATTTGCTGTTACGGGCAGTTGATTGTCAGTGGTGTTGTAAAGTAGATTTAATACGAGTAAATGCTATTGGTTATGTCGGTTATTAAATAATTGTGAGAGAAGCACGTCAATGGAGCATTACGCAGTGTTATTAGCGTAGGAATAAGCAGAAGGACGAGTTTCAAGTATGCGGAATGTGTGGTTTATATTGTGCGCACACATGTCTCATATTGATGCTACATCAATCACACATTTCACTTGCATATCAATGTGAATTTTTCTTATAAAGACCAGAGGTGGGTTGTACAATGCTAAGTAAATGAACGTCAGGTCACGTAAATATAATCTCCAGTGTCTAAACATTCCGGGAAGAATTTTAACGATACAATAATTGTTATTAGAGACAACATTTGTTGTAGGCATGCACAATTATATCAGCGATCGCCATCTCACAAGCTCAATCAGGTTTAGGTCTGGCAATAAATTACAACAATGAATATAACAATAATAACAATTATTATTCCCCAAATAGATTTCGATCTCGGTGCATTGTTGTTTAAGACGTTCAAACAATTACGGGATCCCGATACAGAGGGTTGTCTGCTGAAATAATAACATGAAGCTCTAAACTCACCGACTTGAATAATAAAAAACACTGGAAAGCCAGTTATCCATTTGAAGAATTTACCATGCACAATAATTAAATGTATTTCGGACTTTGTTGCGTTGCGCCGTCAATAAACATTTCAACGGATGAAACATGGCTTTATTAGTCACGTGATACCGCAGCATGCTTATGGAAGTTGGGATTACACTCATTATGCCTACCATATGAACACAAGTACCTATCCTTAACTGCGAATAAAGCTTGTGTTTGTTATTTTGGTATAGCAGTTAGACTGTATTATTTTTCATCTGCAAGACTATGATTGCCTTGTAAAACATTGTCATTCGTCGGGTCCCTCCCATGTGATTAAATTACTGTCATGTTCCACAACAAACCGCTCATTAATTATCGTGCTTACAGTAATATATTAATATAAAAATATTACGAAAATGGTCTTCCGCTTAACTGTTTTGAGAAACTCAAACTTGTAATCAGTTGTATATGTTCCTATTAAGCAGTTTGTGGTGATTGTAATACCGTCTGTGTCATGATTTAATTGAACAAAAAACAAAAAACTCAGGTTGGACACATCAATAAAGTTGTGTCTTTCCCACGCTGCTAAGGACGATAATCGTCTACATTGAGTTATTATACCGTCTGTAAACGCATCTTATATATACGTCAAAGCTGTTCTGTATTTCAGAATGTAAAGTTTGTTTGTCAAAGTTCTACCAATAATGACTATAAAATTTGTTGTTGCAATTAACTTTGATTATTAGAATTAATAATACATTACCATATGTCTATATAGTATTATCAGCTAAACGTTATGTAGACATTAGTAAATACTACATATTGGTCTTCGATGCACAACAGTCGATGAGCAGTTTCCGGATCGAACAAGTGTGTAACATTTCAAACGAATTGCTGCGCGTGGGTCAAACTTATTCCAGTCAGGCATATGCTTACCAGTTATATGTACAGTATTGACTTTAGTGTAGCTCCCGTACGTAAGCAAAGCTATTACATTCCAGAAGTCTGAGCTATATTATAGGTCTGTTAAGATTATAATTATAAAGACGTTTTTTGAACCCGCAATAGTAGACAAATTATCAATGTAATTGCAAAAGACTTTATACAAACTTGGACGCTTGATGAAAAATTTTCAAACCTATTGATAAAGCCATCATTTATCAATAATTCGTATTCTGTCAAAGTTATTTTGCACCAGTATTTGTAACTATATTTGATTACGAAGACTTTTATTACAGGTTAGATATTACTTATACAGTCGCACCTCCATAAAAGAACCCTCTATAAAAGAACGTCATATAAAAACCTCTTCACAAGAACATTGCATCAAAGACCCAATTATTATTAAACTTATAAAAAAAACCCCTTTATAAAAGAACACCTCTTCATAAGAACATTTTTTTTCCAAAAATCACTATGGTCCCAACTTGGTTCTTAAATAGAGGTGCGACTGTATCTCTATGAATAAACTGCATGCAATATCCAGATAAATGCTTGCCATGACCCTTCCTGGTAAACCATTTTGCAGTCTTTATATTAAAATCAGAAGACATTTTTAGTGATAGGATGTAATGGGAATGTGGACGAATAAAGCCTGTTACGGATATAAGACCTTTTCTAACCCTTTTATATTAACTTTTTGTTTGACCATAGAATAAGGCATTATTATACTTCTAATTTTTCAGTTTTGTTGGTATTATTCGACTGCGTTTGGTGCTAGAACTATACTTGATTACATGTACATTTCAAAAGTTAGGTTTACATTCATTTCTTTATCCCGGAAATTCAATTTAGATATATGAACAACCAATGTTCGACAAACTTCTACATTTTTGGTCTCCAACTGCAACGACGAATAACTTTTACAGCAAAATGACGCCTCTTATGATGGGTAATAGGTTCGAATAATGCTATATTTCAAGTAGCGTTCACCATGGTCTCTAATGTCGTATGCTGAATTTGCTCGGTTATAGCGTCGAGAGTTTATAATTTAATCAGGAGCTTCAATGTCAATTGTTATGCAGCTACACGTTTACAGAGACAATCCAATCCTATCTATTTAACAAAAAGTATGATAGAAACCGAAATAGCATTAACGGTTTACTTTGCAAAAAGTGAATTTATCTATAAACAAATGCCAATTGTATGAATTGATAATTTAAATAATTGTTACTTGCTCTTCGAATTAATATGGGTAAGTGATGTGACTTGAATAGAGCAGCAAATTTGTAGAGCTAAAGAAATTTCTCACTTTCCACCAAATGTAAGGCGACTCGATCAGGATAAAGCTTTAATCTGAAAACCCAAATCCTCGAGGTTATTATCAAATATTCGGAATGGTGTCACAATACATTGTTTGGTCATCTGATTATCGTCTTAAACCACCGGCATTTTGTCATATTGACCTTATTGACCATACCATTACTCTCGTAGTCGAACATGAGCGAAAGAAGAATGTCAGGCCCAGCCTCGTTCCAGTCGTCGGGTGGGTCAACATGTAGGAAGACTGTAGAGAGAAAAATTAGCGTTGTTACGCAATAACACGTAGTTAACGTGATTGGTTATTGTGAGGTCGACTGACTTGAAGTGTTTATCTTTCCAATAGTTAGTGCTGTTTCAGCCGAAGAACTGAATGAAAAATATAAGAAGTTATTTCAGGAATTTTCAAAGTACGTTCTCTTATGAAATTCATGTAGTATCGGCCCAATGGTTATCAAGTATATGATTCTTATATTGTTAACATGTCGATATGTTTGTACAGGATAAAAGCTCAGCATTCGATATTAAAGAAAGCCGTTCTTAAGGTTTGATTTTGTTATAATTGGAGGTTAGTGATGATTCTGTTTGCACGAGGTTGATATGATTTTCATAAGCGCCTCCATAGGAACAAGCAAGAAATACAGAACTTACTGAACAAGTTAAAGTGAAAGAACAAGATCTACGCAATGTAAATACAACGGCACCTTAGTACAGTAATATTGTGCAAAATATTGTTAAATCAGCTTAGTAACCCCAAAACTGCGACTACGTACTGATGCAATCATTTGTTGCTTCCAATTCAGTCAATCCAACAACTCGACCTACTTACGTTTCACAATCAACGACTTACCAAACGTATCGAAAGTCTACAAGATGCCAACAAGGCTGTGAGTGACATTAAATCATTCGTGCTGAGTGCTGTTAAGCTATAGTATAGAAAAGCATAGTCCAACATATCTGCCGAGAGGTTTAATCCATGTGTGCTGTATCTTAGAGACTGACTCCGGGTTGGTTAGTGGGTTCAGCTAAAAAGGAACTGGAGAAGTCAAAATCTACACTTGAGACCACTTCCGTAGAATTGGGACGAAAGATCGAAGAAAATGGTGAGTGTTCCGATAGTCTTCATGCGTCAGAATCAGTATTATCTAATCCGTATACATGTTATTCAAACGAATATAGAAATGCTGAATCATAAGCTTTATGAATACAAAAGCCTTTACGCTCAAGAAACCAGTGCACTCCAAACTAGGATAGCTGACTTGGAGAAAAAGAATGAGGAACTTGAGGTAATGTCTAAACAGATTATATTCAAGTATGTTTACATCCGTTTGTAATAGTTACAATCCATGCAAATATAGGTCGAGTTGTCACGTTCCAATATTGCAGGAGATGAGGCCATGGATACTCTTCGTGAGGAAAAGCAACAGCTTGAAATGGAGCTTGAGGAAACAAAGACAAAGCTTAAAGAGTAAGTAGCATTGGACGTGGAAATATTTTTTATAAAATCACTAACGCGACAATAATGTTCTCATTTGCGCTAATGAAGGAAAATGGAAAAGTTGTCCGTAGAATTGGGACGAAAGATCGAAGAAAATGGTGAGTGTCCAGTCCTATCGTTTAACAGTCTGTATGCGTCAGAATCAGTATTGTCACTATTATCTAATCCGTATGCATATTATCCAAACGAATATAGAAATGCTGACTCGCAAGCTTCATGAATCCCAAAGTCTTTACGCTCAAGATCTTAATGCACTCAAAACTAGGCTAGCTGACTTAGAGAAGAAGAATGAAGAACTTGAGGTAAGGTGTCTTATACAGGCTATATTCAAGTATGCTTATATCCGTTTGTAATAGTTACAATCCATGCAAGTATAGGTCGAGCTATCACGTTCGAATATCGCAGGAGGTGAGGCAATGGATACTCTTCGTGAGGAAAAGCAACAGCTTGTAATGGAGCTTGAAACGGAGCTTGAGGAAACAAAGAAAACACTTAAAGAGTAAGCATCATTGGACGTGGAAATATTTCTTGTAAAACCACTAATACGATAATAATTTTCTTTTTTATGGCATTTGTGAAAATAAAGGACAATGGAAAAATTGAAAGAGAGTGAGAGCGCAAGGAAGAATGCCATTTCATCGCCTGAACCGGCCAAGTCACAAAGTTTGTCGAACGTAACTGCGCCAGAGTCTGAAACTGAGAAGCATAACACTAGCGCATTACTTACACGCGGTGGACCGAATACATTAGAAAAGGATGCAGGGGTAAGATGTTATCAAGTTAATATTGGCAGATGGAATGATTCGAGAAAATACATTAATTTTTGCTGGTTGCGTTATCTGATTGTTAATCATAGCGCGTTGAGATATCTGACGGTGATGCAACACGTGAATTACTTATTAAGAAACATTACGAGTCAAAGATTCAGCAGCTAAATGAACGGGTAAAGCGGATATTAGAGTTGAATAATACTGATTCAACAGTTGGTGAGAAGGCATTAACATATTTCGTCATCATAGTTGCAACTGGCCGACAGCACGTCAGTTAGAATGGCTGAGGCCGTGAAATTAATGAGAGAGAAGCTAGCTACTGCTGAGAAAGAGATTACTCGATTACAAGCAGAAAATAAAAAGTGTAAGGAGGATCTTGGACGTGTTGTGGTATGTATTAGATTGTATAGCATATGTGATCCGCACATTCCAATACTGCTACTCATGATGCATTTCTTGTCATCTTGTAGGCCGAGAAGATCGAAGCAGATGGTTCACATAAAAAAGAAAAAGACATAATGACTGATTATATTAATGAATTACAAAAACAACTGCAAACAACTGTCAACTTGAATTCATAAGGAACGAATTTGACGAGCGTCTTGTATATTTAAACGAAGTAATTTTCTTTTTAGTATAGATGTATAGTGATATTTATGTATTGTTATATACTACACAATCCGAATGAATAAAGATAACGGAAACGGCAGGTGATAGAATTATGAAGGGATATTGACTGAATTAAGTATGAGACGCAGCAACAAGGACGAACTTATAAAATAAGGTAAAATTGAAACTGCGCAGGATGAAAAGGACAAGTTCTAGCGAACTGATCGAACAAACGGCATACATATGTGGAAATGGCTATTTACAGCGAACATGTTAACGATTTTCATAAGATTGCTGGCGAGGGACGGGGCGATTCTGAATTATTAGTGGCGAGGTGGCGAGACGTGGGTATGGAGTGGATATGGAGAGATATTGATATGGACGTAGTAAATGGCACACATATGTTGTGCAGTCGCGTATGCGTTTCGACCCCATCCGTTCTGATAATCAAGTACGTGTTTCATGCACCGGGAAGAGCTCGCGTATAGATTTCAGGGGTTGAAGGGTTTCCCCGAAAATTCATCTATGACAAGTTCCCACCGTTTCCACCACATCAGATCCTAGTCGACTTCGTGCCAGGTATTTTGCGATTTGTTAGCATGTCTTTATCTTGTTACGGTATAATTTTGGTATCATAGAAGACAGTAATTGTTATTTTTCTAACGAATAATAAATATAGCATATTAAGATTATTTATAAAATTCTAATATCAATATACATAGTCATAGTAATAGCGCACTTCTATTTTTAGTGAATTCGTTCTCGTACAATAATGAGATTGATGGTTTTCCGCACATCTTCCCTATTTGTGTTGCCTTTGAACTTGCAGACTGATGCTCACCCCATAAAATAGATTTATAACTATAGATATTAGTTATTATTAATATGCAAAAACAGATTAATATGTGCAAGCTCATCCACAACTTTTGTCCTGTATAGGTGCGAGTCCAATAGGAATATTCAACGGTTAGGATGGCAGGAGTGTTTGCACGAAGGATGGTGGCATCAGTGCCAACAAAAGGTCGACACGTTTCATTCTTGATCCCAGCAAGCGTTCATGTAAAATACCGACGCATTACACAATTTTGTGTGCGACATTCAGGGTTTTGAACAATTTTGCTATTCCTTCGTATCGCTAAGGATGGAGGATATCTGTAAACGGCTTGATAGCGTGCTCATAGAGTATTTTGACCTGATAGCAGAATACCAGGAACAATGGAGTCAAATTTGTAAAGAGCTGGAAACAGTAAGTAGCTCTAGTATTATTTTTATCGTAGGAAACATCGACAGACTAACTTTACGTGTTTATCCCATTGAGGGGTTTATAACGTTAGCTCACGCAAAGTACACTATGGGCCCTATTAATATTTCACGATATAAATATGATGCACGAATGAAAGCTATCAGCAGAGTGTAAATTATAACGAATAATTCAATGCATTCTTTAATCTTGTTTGACAAACGCTAACATTGTTCTCAACAGTGTCATGTCTCAAACGATAGCCGGCGACTCTGAAGGAACCACACATTATGAATATCGTCTGGCGAACCATTTACATAATCAACATGATGATGGAGTTAAAATTGGGTCTGAAATAGAGGATCACAGTGAAACAAACTCTATTCGTAGACGTAAAACATTCGCCGGTGAAACAGAAGATGGGGGAAAGGGTGAAGCACAAGGTGGCGATGAAAATAGTGTTAGGATCCATGAAGACGAGAATGAGAGCGATAAAGATAAGAAGAACGAGAATGCCAGCGTCAAATCGGCGGTAGATAAACGCGTACGCACCAATCCGTTAAATTGGTTCGGGATCCTGGTTCCAATATCGTTGCGAGAGGCTCAGGCGCATTTTGAACGAGGTGAGAGCGCGATACAGTCAAAGCTCGTTATAACGAATTCTACGGGACCAGAGAAAATATTCTTTATAACCAGAAATTCCTTATAACGAAGGTCACTTTTTATAGTTAAGATTATGAATATTTATAATTGGCTTGGAGAAAATCTTCGTTATAAACAGATCTTCGTTATAACCGAAGTTCGTTATAGCCAGCTTTGACTGTATACAGTTGACGGCTGGAGAATTTTAGTTCGTTATAATAATAACCAGAGTTCGTTATAACGAGAGCTTGCGTTATAATCGGATTTATTGATTAGGAAAAATCGGTCTGGTGATTCTGGTTCGGTATATCCAGGTTCGGTATAACGGCTTTTCGTAAAATGGTAACGTGATATGCGATAATCTCATTTGTGCAACATCAACAAACAAATACTGATAATTCCGAACTAGTACTAGTCAAATTCCGAAACCTTTTACCGCGTGCTTATTTCGACGATGGCTTTTTCACGCGAAAATCGAACGTTCAGTTATCACACTTTTATTACAATCCACAGCGGATTTGTTAAAACTTTAGCAGAATCGAACGAAGGCGCGAAAGGTTACAGAAATCAACAGAGAGAAAGACAACTCAAGTAAGCAGAGAGAGAGAGAGAGAATGTCATCCAAGTGATTGATTCCAATGCAATGTCTCAATTACGTCAGATATTCACTTTGTCGGTTTTGGCCCCGTATATAGTCGTGCGTTAATTGTGCTGGTCATGTGATTTCAATTTACTCTTCTTGTGCTGCACATATTCACGCCCGAGTGCAGACATTTGAAGATGACATCTCTCTGTGCCATTTTACTTGTCACGAAATCAAGTGGAGGACATGGTCGCTTTATTTTCAATTATCCAAAGGATCCACAGCGAAAACATGAAATAATAGATTACACGACCGGGGATGAAGAATCTGACACGGAGACGATAAACGAGAACGTTCCAGGAGATGATACCGATAAACGATCTACACTGTCGCGTATGGAATTGGATACCGATGATTTCGATCCAACCCCTTCAAGAAGAAGAGTCGGTGGCGCTTCACGAAATGACGATGGGGATGAGATTCTACTTGGTTTCAAGAAATCGTATTTGGCAGATTTGTTATTGCCAAGATCTGGCAGTATCAAGGACTTTCAACTTACCGTCGATGGAATGACGTTTTTGGGCCAACCCATATCTTGCACCAAAGCCGAACAAAGATCACGGGATATTGACTTGCGGGAAGATAAAAAAAAAAGACGACGACGAAAACGTAACGGACAGTCAAGATATTGACCAACCCGCCGGAGCAAAGGTGCCGTCAACAACGAAACCAGCGAACCGGCTGACCGATTTTCATCTGGTCTTTGTTCTGGAACCGCCTGAACTGGAATTGATTCAGCACGTGGATAAAATGTTCAAGCATGTTATAGCAAAAATCACTGCTGCTCTCTACTATGAACAAGACAGATGTGATTATGTGAGACAGCAAGCTGACTTGATAATGCAATTGAAAGATGCTGCAAGATTAGGTATGTGCTTATACCCGCATAATACGTTTGTAGGTTTAACATGTCTATTCTCTTTGCATGACTACACCGCTAATGCACTTTGTATAACAGATAAATCGGCAGATGAGCTTATGCAAATAACTTTGAAAAAAAGTACTCTTGCTAGGACGATAGCGGATGTCTATGATGCAATATCCATAGACTCAACAGCTCACGCCCTTGTTAATGATTATATTGACATCTCATTGCAGATACCATCGTTTTCACCTGACCAAGACGACAATAGACAGGATTTGTATGAATATACACAATTTCCAGTCATAACTCCGCACAAGACACTCTTATTGTTAGAGGATCCTCAAGATATTTTGAAAGCTATGCCTTTGGACGCAAATCCCACACTAGTTCAGCTTATACAAGTTATTACCCCTACACAAAGGTGAGCAACAATCCTTTGAGTTATATTTTTAGATGTGAGTGCTCGATAGGCTACCGATTACGCGTTACGGCCGTAGTGGCATTTCTCCATACTAATAATAATTTAACGGTTTGTCTTTAGGCTCGGAGATCTAATTAGTTTACTCGACTGTTCTCCGGCACAGATTTACAGAATAGTAGCGCATCTCATTTATTGGAGAAAAGCAAAACTGATTGATGTTATGTTACCTCTCCAACGGCGGATCTAAGATCGTAAGTAGTTTTAATTTGTAAAAAAGCTTGTTTATCTGTCGTTATGTATTGTCTAGCAATTCTAACTCAATCTCTTGTTCACACGCGCTTTCTCCAAGCCTGAACGCGCTAACTGCTGATTTCAGTCAACACTGTCCGAACTTGGACCTAATAACATTACTGTCCGAGCTAAATACTCCTGCGCCTAGCAAATTGGAAGACATCATTCCCACCACTTTCAAAGAGCAGAAGACGATTTATTTTGACGCTATTGCTTACCTTTTGCGTAAGGATCTTATCGTACAATTGCATGCGTACATCCTTGTAATGGTCCCACCATATGTTCATATGGGATGTACGCGCGACGAATACGAAAGGAAATTAAGAGAAGGAAGTTATGATCACTCTAAGATTATATCAACACCAATTGCGCCTCCTGAACAAGCAAGCGATGCAGAGCGTAATTGGCTTAATAACATTACTGCCAGGAGGCCTGAAGAGATACGATCTCTCTTTGACAGGTAATCAGTTTGATGATGCGGTTGAGGATGCTGTGCTGTTATAATTAACCTGCATTTATTATAACGACGACATCCTTAGATTGACACAATACTTTAACGGACACCATTATCTTGAAGAAATACTGTTGCGAGAAAACATATCTCGGAAAGATTTACGCTTGGTGACTGATCAGTTTGAGGCGTTGAACGCCTTGTATGTATTGTGGCATTATAATTATTGTATTTATTGTCTTTATGATTAATTGCTATTACCTTTTTTATCTTGTCGTTATTTTGATTGTTAACTGAATATCTTAATAAAGTATTATTAAAGAGTGAGTAACTGTACTGTGGATTTATGTAATATTGGTAGATAAGGACCAAAACATGGAAGGAGAGACTTTCAAATACGTCAACACCACTTTGACAGACGTGATCTTAATATGGTGGATAGACCTCGTGCTACCGCATATGCACGTAAACGCAGCGATTGCGTACGCTTTATGTCTCACACACGCGTTTTGCATTCCAATTCTGATAGCGATCAGTGTTGAAACATTAGTTCAGAGATGACCTCTAATATGTACAATCAGGAACCTGCCACCACACGCGTTTAACATTGGCATTAACGCAATCACACACAGTTGATCAGTCTACAAATTCCCACCAATTTAAAATAACTATAACGAATACTAATTTAGATATACGTAAGTCGGATTGGCAAACATATTCTGTTATTCAATTATCTCTGCAAATGCACGCTGATCATTTAATTGATAAACAGTAAGAGAATATGAGAATTTATTATTTATTTATCAACACACCATTATTATCGTTTCAACTACAAGTATTATAAAAAGGTGTCTAGTTAACTTTATGCAAATTTTGATCGCGCGCCAGCATACGGCAGTTCCGTGGAGTAGAGACTTTGGATTGACTTTCTGTGACTAGTCGAAGATTTCTTGTCATAAAAAAAATGTTTATAACTGAGCATAAGACTTGAAGGACTTTGTGGACAAACAATATTTATTTGCTCCGCGAAACTCCCCACCTAAAAGTTGTATAATCAGGCGACGTGTCGCAAATACCATCTGCGTCAGAGGCGTTTCTTTAAAGATTGATTTTATTTTTTCGCTGGTAAAAATATATTACAATAGATAGTCAAATTCGATCTCTTGGCGTGACAATGTCGTTAGTTTATTACGGACTGAACACATTCGTTATATTCTGTCAATTTGGGGAAAAAGGAAACACGTGGATTTCAGTCGCATATATTCGAATGTTCTAACAGTAAACATGCGATTTTGTTTTGGTACCTTTTAACTCAATCCATATTGACATATTTTAATTTATATCCTTGATAAATAACTGTTTTAGTCAAAGAATGTTTGTGTCACTAGATCATAAACAATGAACTATATTAATATTGTTCATTTATAATCAACTGTTGTCTTCATACCTGCAACTGAATCCGAACCATAGCTATTTTCTTGGTTTAGGCAAACCTCCAGTAGGCAAGGGCGTGCTAGAATATTTACTCTCCTTCTCGAGACGTGACAAGGTTTCTACATAGATAGCACCCCATGCACTGACATGATTATCTTTTTCTGGGAAAAGCTCGCAAATATAATGCCAAAGTTTCTCTCCATTCTCTGGACGCGTATCACAACACAGCTCAAAAGTTTCTTGTATTGTAATCAGGCATCAATGGCCGTAGTCCACCCATAATATCGCATGCTAAACTTCTATCGAACTACCTGTCTCTAAACGGTGATTCACCAGTAGCCATCAAATGCATGCATGATAATACCAAAAGAATAAATGTTCGATTTCTGAGTAAATTTGCGGGTATGGAAAACTTCCGGTGCAATAAATGGTGTGAATTTACCGATTGGGAAAGACCAAGATCGCATACCAACGGTTCGGTTTCATTTCAGACTTGTAATAATGAACACATGAATGTGTAGCAGCCTATAAAAAGCAAAAACAATATTTCCCAGTAAACACAATAATGCAAAAATAAGATTGGTGGCGGTGCGGTGCAGGAATACATCAATAGATAAATACATAGATCTTTACGAAAAATATATTCCCTGATTGTTTGCTAGTAGCGTATCAACAAACGCACCCTACTAGTAACGTATCCAGTAGGTACAACCATTTGGCTATAAGCCCCATGAAATCTCATAATTATATTTATTATGCTTACCTTTCTATTATTCATGAGTTTTTGTGTCGACGCAATAGTCACGGGAGAGCGAGTAACTACTGTCTCGGTTTGAGATTTAGCTGCGGCACCGTCGTAGGAGTGTGGCTCACCTCAGCGATAGCTAAACGTAACAAACGGTTAGTGACCTTTAATTAGGCTTTGACGTGCTGATGTATTCGTATACGGATCGCACACACTAATCCTATATAATTGGTTATTCTCGAGAAACGAATGCTACTCTTTACCGGAGGATTAATTCGGTAGTCTATAGTTGGGGTCTTAATAAGCAATATAACGCGTTGAGAAATAATAATTGTGGGGGCTGAAGCTGAAGCTGAAACGCTCGTGACTTAAATTAATCACGTAATTAGTGGGGTATCCAATGCAGGTAGCTAAAATATATAACGGATTATTCAAAGAAAGAATTAATATGTTAGAGTAAATGGATACTCGTTTATTTAATAAGAAATAAGGAAACTCGAACGTCTTCGATGTAAGGAATTAAGGATTAAACTTGAAATTTACGAACACACCGATGCTAAGTAAATTCTATGTGCTTATATACTTTTCAGAACATTAATTAATCTATATTTAGCCGCTACTCTTTTTAATTACTAATCTGTTATTGCTATTATATCTATAAGATAAGATCTTAATATGTCGATGGTGGATTTCATTTTAATACTCGGGATTCGACACAATTAGAAACTATAGATCTCTTTAAAGTTTCGTCATCTTTCGTCAATGTTGTACCACCTACGTATATCCTCTTAATGTTTTTCTGCGAATTTTCTAAATCCTTATTCACCATGTAAACATATAATCCTTTGTTCAAGGTTGTCGGTCTCTGTGGGGTGTTCGACCATTTCTGCTATACCGTCATTGTTGATTATATACTTTCTATTGGCTCCAGTAGCTTAGGAAAGGCCACGAGCTTGTGTATAAGTTGATTCTGCTGTCCGTGCGGGCTTTCTATTCCGATACTCAACGTGTTGTCTTGGGTTCGATGGTATAGGCGGATGAAGGAAAAGAGTATCAACATTAATATCGATCATAATGTCCATGTATTCGATCATATTATCGAGAATTTTAGGGACGCTCCTTGTTTGATTGTCGTTTCGTACGGGTAATGTATTTGGGCGACATCCCCAACTTTTTGCAACGTCGTGTAATTGATTATATGTTGCAAGGTGAGATAAAAGATGGAATGAGCCTCATCTTTTTCAGAGAGCTCATAATTAATTATGAGCTCGACGTAGTCGTAAAGGAACCAGGTCTCCAACGGACAAAACTCAAAATACTTTGTGTACGGGATGTCGCCGGGTTTGCATTGGCGGTTTCGGATACCAATGAGATTAATGTTGATATCTATCCTTGGAAATGTTGGTGCCATACGATTCAGAGAGGAATTTTTGGGCGACATCCCGAACTTTTAGAAATTTATTATATGTTGCAACGTTAAATAAAAGATGGAGTGTGCCTCATCTTTTTCGGCGAGCTCATAATTATTAATTATGAGCTCGACGTAGCTGCGGAGGGACCAGTTCCTCAGCGAACAAAACTCAAAATACTTTGTGTACGGGATGTTGTTCCAACAGAGCACTCGTATTATCATCATTAGATGGGGATGGAGAGGGAGATGGATGTCGCCGGGTTGGCATTCGTGGTCTCGGATACCAATGAGATTAATCTTAATATAAATGATATCCGAGGTGGTCATGGTGGCGTCGGTGGTAGCGTCGGCGGAGGTGGTTTCAGAGGTAGACGCGGTGAAGGTGGTAGCGTCGGCATGTGTGGTTTCAGAGGTAACAAATTCCAATCCCATAATCCACCTAGAGAATTCCCAGGCTCTGGCTCTGTGTGCTGGTGGTAGTAGGCATCCGTTGAAATCTCTTCTCCATACTGACTGCAGTTCTTGATAGCTTCATACTCAGTGGTAGCAGAGGTGTAGCAGAGTGATAACAGAGTGGTAGTAGAGATGTAGCAGAGGTGTAGCAGAGTGGTAGTAGAGGTGGTAGCAGAGGTGGTAGTAGAGTATGTGCTATAGAGTGATGACTGTGGATGTGTATTAAACTTTGGAGGAGAAGAGTGGGATAGATGGGTATATATATATGTGTATGAGGAGACGCGTGCTTGCGTGTTTAGACTCACATTAGCCGTGAGAATATGACGTCGTGATTGTTATGATTGTTTCCACAAACGGGAACAATAGTATCGATGTAATTTACGCTTATATTTAAAATAAATGTGACACGTAACATTGCGTATAAAATTCACATAAATGTAAGGGGTATTAATCAAATTCAGTAATCGGGTGTGGTGGGTTCTGGAATAAAAAAGTTTGCGGTGTATTAACTAATAGGCAGGGGACTTAAAAGCAACACTACTCGACAAGCTGTTAGAAATAGAATTTCTAAATCTGATGTCCTCGTGGGAAGCGGAGGTAACAGTAAGTAGCCATTGATTGTCCGGAGCGAAGGACTATTACTGTCTACACGCTATGAAAAACTTTGATTCTCCAATGAGTTGTGATTGATGATGATAATGACGTTATTTATATCTCATACTAATATATTAAAATTGGCCTGATTGTTATGCTCCGCGTGTATATGTGTCGATCGTCCAATCAAAAACCATTATACATCATTGTAGTTTTTCGATAAACTTGACGATGTCACCACCAGGGGCTATCTTTATTGAGATAAATATAAAATACAAAAAAAGAAGTACATCTAACGAAATCTCGTGGAGTGGAAACTGTCTTTCTGATGTAACCACTGATGCGTGATAGAACAAAATTAGTAATTATTGTATTCTGTAAAATTAATAAAGTTTCTATAAATTTAGATACGACCCTTTTGTCCGATAATTGTACAGGAATTCAGCTGATTGAAGATGGTAGTATCCGGGTATATTGACTTTATCCCAATCAAGTGTAATATATTTCCCGCTACTTGTATCCCTACAATATCAAACTGTTCCTTAGCGGGGTTGAGACTCTGACGTTTATCATTTGCAATTTTATCTTATCATTCGTCTTTTTTTGTGGAGTACAAAATAAGGGGAACATTGATTTCTCCTTATTCGTTTTAACAATTCCCGCAAACTACAGAAAGCAAAAATAAAAATAGTTATCAAAAACACATTATTAAAACAATACATTATACATCAGTGCAATATGCAAGGTTTCCATTTTCGTACGTTGAATGGAATTTTGTGTCTTGTTTCTTTAATAGCTTCATTCCACAAACCATTTACTTCGGGGGTATTAGTATGCAGCAATGACACGCTATAGATCCAATAAGGTTAGACTATACATTCGTACAAAGGCAAGTGCGGATAGGCGTAGGTGTAAGCGATTTTAAGTGTGGGTTACTTATTATTATTATTAGTTAATACATAATCAATCGGAAGTTTAATTCTTGAACCAACCCTTTAACAATTCTCCTGAACAATTAGTATGCATTCAACGCAACATGAATATGACGCACACACTCGATACAGTTGTTTAATAGAGTTTATTATAAAATGTTCAAAAATAAATAAATATAATGACAATAATAAAAATAAAATATCTACATTCATGTCTAATTACGCGCCATTATATGCAGACGACTGGTTACAGTCTTTGCTTGTGATAATGACCTTTTTTTGAGGCCGACGCTTGGCTCTCGATATTCTCAACATATTAATAATAGCGGTTTATATATTTGCATCCCAAGCATCTAAATCTGCGTAATCACCGTTATATATCTGCTGTAACACAAGCTCTCTCACATTCATTGCATAGGTATCATTTGGATTCATCTCCAATACTCTGTTAAGATCGTTCAATGCCTTGTCATAGTTCTGGAGCTCAGAATAAATGACTCCTCTCAGTCTCAACGCCTCTGTATTTTGCGCGTCATGACGTAGCGCCCTATTGATATCTTCCAACGCGCGATCATGATTATTAAGGTGATAATGGACAGTTGCCCTTACCCTTAATGCAAACACATCGTTGTTGGCCCTTAATGGAAACAAATTGTTGGCCCATAATGGAAGCACATTGTTGTTAAATCGTCGCCGACGTGACGTCAGTGATTTGTCGAGATCGAGCAATGCCTGGTTATACCGCGAGAGCTGGCAAAGAACATCGCCCCTTACTGCTAGTAGCCACGCATTGTGCGGTTGATATCCCAACGATGTGGTGAGATCCTTCAAAGCATTCTCATAATCTTTAAGTTGATAATAAGCGTGTCCCCTTCGGCCCAATGTCCATGCGTCAAGCGGTTCAAGATTTAGCGCTTTGCTGAGGTCTATGAGAGCCTTGTCGTATTGCTTGAGCCAACAATAGACATTTCCCCTTTTCTTTAATGAAAACGCAACATTCGGTTCAAGTGCCAATGACTTGTTAAAGTCATTCAACGCACATTCATACATGGTGAGTTGATGATAGACATCTCCCCTTATCCTCAATGCGTATGCGTCGTTGGGTTCAATTTCTAACGATTTAGTAAGATCGGTCAATGCCTCGTTATAACGATTGAGATTGCACTGTGTACATCCCCTTCGACTCAGTGTCAACGCATCGTTCGGTTCAATCTGTAACGAATTGTTGAGAAATGTCAATGCGTCACTATACAGCTTGAGCTGCATCTTGGCATCTCCTATCTGACTCAACGTTCGCGCATCATTTGGTTCGATAAGTAATGACGTATTAAAGTCAACCAATGCATTGGTATACTGTTTGCACTCATGATATATGTTACCTCTCGCTCTCAATGCCCATACGTTATGCGGCTCAATTCCGATTAGCAAGTTGAGACTAGTTAACGCTTCGTCATATTGATAAAGTAAATAATGCACCTCTCCGCTTTTACTCAACGCAAATGTATCTCGCGGTTCAATCTTCAACGATTGGTTGAGGTCACGTACTGCATTGTCGTATTCGCCAAGCAGACTATGAACATATCCCTTTCTACTCAACGTCCATGCATCATCCGGTTTAATTTCTGACGCCAGATTGAGATCGTTCAACGCTTTATCGTAGTCATTAAGCATGCAATAAATATATCCTCGCTTACTCAGCGCCTCGACATTATCCGGTTCGAGCTCTAGCAATGCGCAAAGATCCTTCAATGCATTCTCATGTTGATCAAGCGTGAAATAAATCTCGCCTCTCTTGGCCAACGCCCATTTATCGCGCGGTTCCATCTCCAACGCCATACCAAGATCGTTCAATGCGTTGTCATGTTGATTGAGCTTGTAATAGACGTATCCCCTTTTGCTCAGCGCATATGCGTTATTCGGTTCAACCGTTAAGGATTGGTCGAGATCTGCCAAGGCGGTGTTGTATTGACACAGTATGAGATAGACATTCCCCCTAGCTCTCAACGCATATGCATTATTCGGTTCAATTCTCAATGCTTTATCGAGATTGTCTAACGCATAAGCATAGTGCTTCATCATGCAGTAAGCATCTCCGCGTCTACCCAATATCCACGCATCGTTCGGTTCAATCTCCAATATTCTATTATAGTCGTCTATTGCATTTTCATATTGACCAAGCTTGTAATAAATCTCGCTTCTTTTCTTCAATGCCCGCTTATCACTTGGTTCAAGCGATAAAGACTTGTTTAGATCATTTAATGCATCGTCATACCGTTCAAGTACGTAATAAACCTCTCCTCTTGTTCTCAATGCAAATGTATCGGTAGGTTTAATGTCTAATGACTTGTTGAGATCATCCAATGCGTTGTCGTATTTACCAAGCAGACAGTAAGCATAGCCCTTTCTGCTCAGCGCCCATGCGTTATTTGGTCTGATATCCAATGACTTGTTGAGATCAATCAGAGCGTTGCCACCTTGTTCCAGTATGCAATAGACATGTCCTCTTCTACTCCATGTCCAAGCGTCATTCGGATTAATGTCTATCGATTTATTAAGATCGATTAGTGCCTTGTCATTTCGTTCAAGCATGCAATGAACATATCCCCTTCTACTCAAAGCATATGCATCATCTGGCTTCGCTTCCAATAACTTGTTGAGATCAGTCAGCGCCTTGTCAAATCGATGAAGCTTGCAATAAACCCGACTTCTTTCACTTAATACCTGTTCATTTTGCGGTTCCAACGCTAAAAAGTCATCAAGGTCATTCAACGCGTTGTCATATTGATTAAGCGCGTAATACGTTTGACTTCGCTTTTTCAACGTCCATTTATCCCTCGGTTCAATCTCTAAAGACTTGTTCAGGTCACTTAGCGCAATGTCATACTGTTTGAGTATATAATGAATGTCTCCTCTCTTTCCCAGTGTAAACGCACAATCCGGTTTCATAGTCAAAGCCTTGTCAAAAATCGCCAACGCTTCATCATACTGCTCAAGTAAATAATAAACATATCCCTTTCTGCTCAACACCCAGGCATCATCCGGTTCAATCTCCAATACCGTATTGAAATCGTTCAGTGCATGAGAATATTGTCCGAGCATGCAATAGGCATAACCTCTTTTACCCAACGTCCACGCATCGTTTGGTTCAATTTCTAAAGCTTTGTTAAAGTCCTTCAATGCACTATCATACTGATCAAGCATGGAATGTACATATCCTCTTCTACTGAGAGCAATTGTATCCTCCGGTTCAAGTGTCAACAGCTTGTTAAAATCAGCCAATGCCTTAGCATGACTATTAACGACGTAATAGAGACAACCCCGTCTGCTCAACGTCCACGTGTCGTCTGGTTTAATTGACAATGATTTGTTGAAATCGTCTAACGCTTCGTGACATTGACCAAGCCTGAAGTAAACGTATCCTCTTCTGCTCAGCGTCCAAGCATTATCTGGTTCGACTTGTAAAGACCTGCTGAGATCTATCAACGCAATTTCGTATTGATCAAACACGCGAAATATGTTTCCCCTTCTGCTCAACGCGAACGCATCATTAGGACTAATTTTTAATGCTTTGTTGAGATCGTCCAATGCTACGTCATACTGATCAACCGCAAAATGCACGCATGCCTTTCTACTCAACGTCCATACGTCGTTCGGTTTAATTTCCAATGATTTGCAGAGATCATCCAATGCATCTTGATACTGTTCAAGCTTGTAGTAAACATGTCCTCTTCTACTCAATGTCCATGCATCATATGCGTCAATATGTAGAGCTTCATTAAAGTCACTCAAAGCATTGTCATAACGTTCAAGCGCGGAATATGTGTTTCCTCTTTTACTTAGTCCAACTCTGTCATTAGGATTAATTTCCAACAATCTATTGAAATCTTCCAATGCCTTGTCGTATTGGCCAAGTATATGATACGTATGTCCCCGTTCAGTTAACGTCCAGACATTATTCGGTTGAATTGACAATGATTTGTTGAAATCATTTAATGCATTGCGGTGTTGATTAAGCTCGCAATAGACATATCCCCTTCGACTCAACGCCCATGCATCGTCTGACTTTATCTTTAATGATGTATTTAAATCATTCAACGCATTGTCACAATTCTTAAGCATGCAATAAACATATCCTCTTCTGCTCAAGGCAAACACATTATCTGGTTCAATCTTTAAAGATTCATCGAGATCTTTTAATGCATCATTATACTGACCAAGCATGCAATACGCGTATCCTCTTCTACTCAATGCAGATGCATTATTTGGGTCAAGCACCAAAGCTTTGTTGAGATCTGCAATGGCATTATCATATTGATCAAGCATGTGATAAGCATGTCCTCTTTTCTCAAGTGCAAGAATGTTATCTGGTTCAATTTCCAATATCTGACCAAGATAGTTCAATGCATTATCATACTGCTCAAGCTGACAATAAACATCACCTACAAGTCGCAATACCCAAATATTTTTGGGTCTGACCAGTAATGACTTGTTGAGATCTTTCAATGCATTGTCATAGTCTTCAAGATGATAATAGGCATATCCCCGTCTGCTCAACGTCCATGCATCATCTGGTTCAATATCCAGTGACTTGTTGAGATCAGTTAAGGCATTTTCATACTTTTTAATCCAGATGTAGACATTTCCCCGTATACTCAAAGCAAATGCATCATTTGGTTCAACTTTTAATGAGCTGTTGAGATCATCAAGTGCCTTATTATAACGACCAAGCATATAGTAGACGTTTCCTCGTATACTCAAAGTAAACGCATCATGTGGTTCAATCTCCAATGACTTGTTAAGATCTTTCAACGCGTCGTGATATTGATTTAAATAATAATGGACGTTTCCTCTAATGCTCAACGCGAACGCATTATCCGGTTCAACTTTCAACGATTGATTAAGATCCCTCAACGCGTTGTCATAATTTTTAAGACTGCAAGAGACAGCTCCTCGCTTGCTCAATGTCCATGCATTATTTGGTTCATATTCCAGCGACTTGCTTAAATCGTTTAATGCATCGTAATGACGATTGACCGTGCGATAGACATTTCCTCTTACACTCAATGCGTACGCATTATTCGGTTCAATCGTCAATGCCAGGTTGAGATCGTTTAACGCGTTGGTATTTTGATCAAGCATGTGATAGACATGTCCTCTTCTGCTCAATGCCCATGTGTTAGATGGTTCAAATTTTAATGTCTTGTTGAAATCGTTTAATGCGTTGTTATACAGCTTGATCGCACAATAAACGTATCCTCTTCTGTTTAGTGCAAATATTTTATTCGATTTGATTTCCAATGATCTATACAAATCGTTTAGCGCGTTCGCATATCGATTGAATATGTAATAAATATACCCCCTTCTACTCAACGCATATGCATTATTGTCCGAGTTAATTTTCAATGATTTGTTAAAATCTTTTAATGACTTGTCATATTGGCCTAGCATGTAATAGACATACCCTCGTTTGTTCAATGCCCAGACGTCATCTGGTTTAAGTGCTAATGATTTATTGAGGTCACAGAATGCCTGATCATGTCGACTAAGCCAGTAGTAGACATAACCCCGCCTACTCAATGTCCATGCGTCATCTGCTCTAATTTTTAATGACTCATTGAAATCGTGTAGTGCAGTTTTGTATTCCTTGAGCTTGCGATAAACATCTCCTCTTTTGTTCAGTAAACATGCATCTTTCCGTTTAGTTTCCAACAGTCTATTTAGATGATTTAATTTCTGGAACAAGGCTAGTTGGTCGTATACTTCTTTGCATGATGGCCGCTTTTCAGGAATTTTGTCCCAACATGCTGAGTATAGTCTGACGTATAGTTCAGGTGTTCCAGAACAAATGCATTTATGGTTCTGAGTAAGTTCTCTGTATGGAAGTTTTCCACTAGAAATCTCCCAGAGTATTACCCCGAGACTAAATATGTTGGAATTTTTCCTATGATCGCATAAAGTGTTATCAATATATACCGTGTCATCTTGATTCTTGGTCGTTGGACTAGCGTGTGCCGACGTTGTTAATAAATCAAAAGTCGATATTTTTGCCACTCCGTTTTGAATGAGGATACTTTCGGAAGACTAAATAAAATTGAATATATTAATATGTATACTAATACAAAGGATGACGACGACGACGACGACGAAGATTTAAATACCAAGTTCTTGTGGATTATGTCAAGCTCATGTAGATATTTTATTCCATTGGTAATTTCCAGAGCAAGTTTGTACTTGTCTTTCCACGTCAAAGTATCAAAGTTATTTGCCAAGTATTCACGTAAACTTCCACCATCAACAAAATCGAAAACCAGCTTAAAATTATCATGTCGATCTGATATGTAAATGATATTAGTTTCATGCGCCACAATCTTAATTTCGAAATATAATTAACTGGGTACCTATTAATAGACATGAAAATCGAATGATGTTCGGATGATCATTTATCCGTTTATGGTTATCCAGCTAATGAGCGATAATTAGTATACGAATCAGTTTTTTGTAAGATAGACAATAAGAACGAAAATAGCATGAGATCGATAACGATAACTACCTCTTTGACAAGTTTGCTTAGTAGTTCATCTTTACGGTGTCCGTCTTTATTCCAGAAAAAAGACGTCTCTTTTATCGTAACGGCCATCCCAGAATGTTTCATGATCGCCTTGCCATTGTTATCGGGTACAATTATGTCATTCTCTGAACAACAATCGACTGATAAATTGTGAGACATTGGAGTCATGCATCAAAGGGATGTGTTAATGCTTTTTGTTATCTTCGTTTCTTATTTTTTGGTAGAAAATTTGAATCGTTGTGCTTTTATATTGTTATTCTGCTTTTTTGGGGAAGAGCAGAGTTTAGAAATGATGCATTCTTTATTAATACCGGAGAAGGGCTTCCGATATTCTATTATTAGCGAATGTAATATCGTTACACCAGCCAATCATTTATTTGAGGAAATTACCATGTCTTTTTCGAGAAAGTAAACAAAAAGGCTAAAAAAAGCTTATCTGAGGATAAGGGTCATTTATTATAGTTTTAGCTCGAGCCCGTGCATACATATTCTCTGATTTGCAGTCTGATATCGTTATTGATTAATTGTCGGTCCTTTTAGAGCAGGTATGACAAACCAATCGTTGCATCTTGTGATTTTGTGTGAAAATCATTTCACAGAGGGCAACCATTTTTAGGTTATCAAAGGGGCGAAATGCATCATCTCGGAAATTCGAGAATTGAGCTGTCTGTACAATATAATAATAACAACAGTGATAACAACATCTGTGCTTTTTAGCGATTAAAGTTTATGTTCTACAATAGCTTGATAATTTTCAAAGGTCTGCGAGTATATTCTAATCCCCGAAACCCACTATTGTTCAAAATAAAAGCGATATAATTCTACTGTAAATATCGCTATCGTTAATTTTAATAACCTGTAAAACGTCTTTTACAGTTTGCAACGCTGTATATTTTGGGACAATTCTGAGTGCAGTCAGTCAAGTATGCGATTATCTAAGTAATAATTACATGTTTAATTTCTTTCTTGTAATAGAATATTTATTGTTATTTGTATAAAAGGTAGGGGTTTTTAAGTAAGCGTTGTATAATACCAGACTAAGGCTCCCGTTATTGGAATTGTAACTAACGTAAGAAGCACTATTTTACGGTGTTCGTGGAAATAAACGAGATTTTTTCTTGTAAAAGTCACTTGCTTTGATCGTTATCTCACAGAATATTTAGCATTTTGACTACTTACTATTTTCCAAACAATCAAAACGATTAATTATATATATATATATATATATGGTAATTAATGTTAAACTATTACATGTTCATATTGATTATGATAATTATTACAAGTGGTCGAAAAACCTTTTAAGTTCGACTTCTTTTCTGCTGTTTATGAATTTGAAGAAAAAGTCGTTTATTAGGTCGTTTATTAAGTCGTTTAATATGATACCTTTTAATAGTAATCTGCTTTCATATAAAGTAGTTTACGTAATACATACTGCTCGCGCTTGTAAGCTAGCGTTTATTGTACAATTTTAAATAATGTACAGTTCAAAAAAACACGATTGTTCTTTGTTGCACTTGTTGATGATATCGCTGACATCAATCTCGTATCATACTAACTTTTGTGGTTTCTCGTTGTCTAAGTTAAACTCAATTTAAGCGAGAACCCGCTTACAAATCTCGTAGATTTTTCTAATACTAATACTCGCAAAAGTGTGTTAGTCGTAAGTACAGTCAAGGATTTACCAAAATGGTGGCAAATCTTACACACAAATCAAAAAAAGGTAAGCTTTCTAAACATTTTGCCTGACAAGAAGATTTCCTTCAAGTAAAAAAATTTAAAGCTTACCTTTTTTCGGTGGACATCAATTAAATATGAATTGGATTATTCAAAACTAAAAAATTACTTTCGCTCATTTTACAGCTCTTCCGTGTATGCATTGCACAATATTTATCTATTACTCAAAAAACTATACTAATATACGTTGACATACGTCTAGTTTCTATCCACAATAATTTACTCTAACCAACTCACTTTAAAAAAGTAAACGAGATCTGAGAATTCTGAATTTACTATGTACGTTGCTCATTAAGAACGGTAAAGGGCAAAAGACAATTCCATGTCTTAACAAACAATATTCTCATCATAAATTTTTGCACATAAAGACAATAACAACGTCTGTTGTTTAATATTTGAATCCCAGCATGGAAAATATTGTGTCAATTAAATAAATTAGCTATCAAAATTTCATAATCAAAAACTGTTTATTAAGACAATTATATCACTGTTTCAGAGATATCAGAAGAGGCGGATCTTTTGAAAAGTATAAGACGTGTCTATTTCGAATACGATGATTGATCGACAGTTCAACTCGACGTTATCAGTAAAGATTATCACGATTGAAATGTGATATTTCCGATTACGGGGGTAAGGCTATAAAGCGGTGCAGATTTTGTGCTACGTCTGCTGCAGATTGCCACAAAACCTATGAGCGCCACCACAATTGGGTATCATGTGATAATAATAAATTAAATTATAAACACTATTCTTAAAATTAAAGATCTTTGAAACTAACTACCCGCTCTCTACTACCACTCTCCTCTATCCTCCAATACATGAATAGATGCATTTGTAACATTATTCACAGCGCTCTTCTGAAACATTCTAACATTTGATGTCTTATCTATCGTAAGTAAAAACACAAATAGCGCGCTCTAGTCAGTGAAAATAAGGGTAACGTCAACTCACCCGACTTGAGTTCAACCATGTATTCCAAAATCGATATTATAATAAAGCTCAGCCTGAATTAACAGACAAAGGCAAAACGTTAAGTTGAACAACTTTGTTTCCGAAACATGATCTGATATCACATGATATCCGATCTCAGCAGATGTGGCACAGAATTTAGCCTACACCCAATTATGGTAATAGCTAACATCGCTATCATATCACGTGACAGTTATCGAATTCCCATGCTAATATATGAGCTAAAGAATGATCGTAATCAACGTAACAATAGTTTTTTTGTCTCAACATGTCTCGGAAACAAGTGGTCAACGATTTGTATCAAGATTTTTTAAAGCAAAGCGTAAAGGAAGGGTTAGTTGCCTGCTATTCAGAAAATGATATTACCTTGAGCCCTACGCCTATTAGTAGCGGCAGCATTAGAACATACAATGCTGAGTTGAAGTGCTCTGGAACTGGAACACCCGTTCTGATCAAGTCTGTGGTGAACGGCTGTTACAACTGTACGAAAGAATTACGCAGTGAGCTTGTCAAAGAGGTTATTAGAGTTTTACGATCGATGATATCATTTGTATTATATTAACTTGCGCCTCATCAATACTAACGAGTCGATTAATCGATATACGTAGCTGAGAATTGAAAAGAAAATAAAGGAGCATCCAAATATCATTAAGTTTTTAGGCGTATGCAGAGGTATATCAGTCTTATTTTACTAGAAATGATTGAACGATACAGGCTGACTGACTCATTTCACATTATAGACAATTACGGTGACTATCAATTAATTTTTGAATTTGCTGAAAATGAGACGCTACATACATACTTGATCAATCACTTTGATGAGTTAACGTGGAAAGACAAGTGTGATCTTGGATTGAATGTTACTAGTGGATTGAAATATTTGCACGAACTTGGTATAATCCACAAGGATTTGGTATTTGTCACATTAATATTGATTATTATTATACCTTATTATTATACCTCTCTGTATATTAATATATTTTACTTACTTTGTATATCATGGTTTCACTTTAGTCATCTGAAAACGTTCTGATCAAATCTGGCATTGCAAAATTAAGTGGATTTGGTCTATCCTATGTAGTAAAACAGATGGCACAAGATGAAGTATGCAAAGCTCAAACATCTTTCGAACATGACATTATCAATCTTGGGAGAGTCCTGTTGGAAATCTCAACTAAAGAGACATCATTTGATAAGGGTGTTCAATATTATCAAATCGTTTCAGATGGAATACCCATTGAATACATCATGGTCTGTTTAGACTGTTTGTATTGTATAGATTTTGGTAAGAGACCTTATCTTGAATGGCACTATGCTGGTCGTCCTTATGTTTATTGGAAACAAGGACCATCTTGTGAAAATGTTTATAAAAAGTTGCAGGCATTATACAAGCATAATGTAATAACTTTAAGTGGCAGTTATCTTATTCGAGATACAGGAGCAAAGGGCTTGACAAGGGCATTAGAGGATTCTTTTAGTATTAGTTTGAATCTTACTAATAACAAGATTGGAAGTGAAAGTGCAAGCTTGACAGTTTTAACAAAGGCTCTAGAATCAACATCTACTATTGTCTCTTTGAATCTCGAGTATAATTGCATCAGAGATATGGATATAGTAATTTTGGCTAAAGCTCTAGAAACCAATACTTCCTTGGCTTGGTTGAATCTCAGTGCTAACCAGATAGGTGATGCTGGATGTACAGCATTAGCAAAAGTCTTGGAGTCAAATTCTGCTCTAAAATTTCTGGATCTTAGTGAGAATAAGATTGGAGATACAGGCACTACAATGTTAGCAAAGGCTTTGGGTTTAAATTCATTAATTTATCTCAACATCCAATTGAATAATATTGGAGATTGTGGAGCAGCAGCTTTAGGTAAAGCTTTAGAGTCAAATTCTTCTCTATTTTCATTAAATCTTGCATATAATAAGATTGGCAATGCAGGAGCATCAGCTTTAGCAACAGCTTTAAAACTAGATGTTGGTCTGGCGTTTTTAAATTTATATCATAATCAGATTGGAAATGCAGGAGCTACAGCCTTGGCAAAAGCTTTTAAGTCAAACAGCCATCTTGTAAATTTAAATTTACGACTAAACCATATTGGAAATGCAGGAATGGCAGATTTTGCTGGAGCTTCCACAAAGCAATCCAAACTGATTTCCTTAAATTTGCAATCAAATTATATCAGTGATTTAGGAGTAGTAGCTTTGGGGAAAGCTCTCAGTTCCAAACCTTCTCTGACTTTTTTGAATCTAAAGTTGAACCATATTAGACATGTAGGTGCAACAGCCTTGGGCAAAGCTCTTAAGTTTAATCGTACATTACTTTCATTAAATTTGTGTCAGAATGAAATTGAAAGTACAGGTGTAGAAGAACTGGGAAAGGCCTTACAATCTAAATGCTCTTTGATCTCTTTAAATCTTAAGGGAAATAATATTGAAATTACTGGAGTAAAATATTTGGCAACTGCTTTAAGGCACAATTCAACTTTATCAATTTTAAATCTCAGTAAAAATTATATTGAAGATGCAGGTGTAACAATTTTGGCAAATGCATTGAAATTCAATCATTTTTTGAAGTATCTAAACCTTAGTGAAAATAATATTGGACATGAAGGAGCGGCTGCATTGGCAAAGGTTTTAGAAGACAATCCTTTCCTGGTTTCTTTGGATCTCAGTAACAATAATATTGCAAATGAAGGAGCATTCGCTTTGGCAAAGGCTCTAGGATCAAATCCCACCAATCTGATATTTTTAAATCTAAAAGAAAATGATATTAAAAGTGAAGGAGCAATTGTTTTGGCACAATTCTTAAAACATAATTATACTTTGATGTTTTTAAATCTATCTTATAATGCTATTGGAAATGCTAGTGCAGAAAGCTTGATGACAGCTTTAAAATTAAAGTCAAGTCTGTTCACATTAAATATATATCACAATAAGTTTAATGCTAAAAAAGAAGCAGCCTTGGCAAAAATGATAGAATCAAAGTCTTTTCAAAAATCCTTAGAGACAGAGACAACAATTGGAGATGCAGGAGCAGTTGCTTTAGCACAGATTCTAAAGTCGAGCCCTCATTTGAGCTCTCTAAAGCTATTCAATAGTAGGATTGGACCTGTGGGTGCAGCAGCTTTGGCAAAGGTTGTGCAATATTGTTCTTTGACTGTTCTGAATCTTAGTCAGAATAATATTGGGATAAAAGGAGCAATTACATTGTCAAGGGCTTTAGAGTTTAACACTTCTTTGGCTGAATTGAACCTGTCTTGTAATGATATTAGAGGTGAAGGAGCAAAATTTTTGGCAAAGGTTTTAAACACAATGACTTCTTTGACATCCTTGGATTTAGGAGACAATTATATAGGAGATTATGGTGTAGAAGCTATAGCAGAGGCCTTGAAATCTAATTCAGTTTTGAAATCTTTAGTTTTATGCTATAATTTCTATGGTCATGCAGTGACATATTTGGCAGAAGCTTTGAGTTGCAATTCTTCACTGACTACTTTGGATCTTTCTCACAACCATATTTGTGTGGATGTGTGTTCTTTGGCAGAAGCCTTGAAATCAAATTCATCTTTATGTGCTTTAAATTTAGAAAGTAATAATATTGGAAGTCGTGGAGCAACAAGTTTAGCTCGGGCCATAGAATTCAATTCCACACTGACTTCTTTGAAACTGCGATCCAATGAGATAGGAATTACAGGGGTAAGAGCTTTGATATATCTCAAAAAATACAGTTCTACTCTGATGTTGCTGGAGTATGATCATGGCATACTCACCAAATTGCTCAAATTTTTCACAAGATAATAAAAAGCAAAGAGATTTGACACATGAGTATTAGTTAGAATAGCCTGGTATTTATCAGAGTATAATATGTCAATTTGCTTGGAAATTGAATAAAATTTTTATTATGTGATGCTTATCTTAAAAACAAGTTTAAAAGCCATAATGATAAAACTGAGTTTATTTTACTCAATTAATAAACTTTAAACAGTGAGCTAGTTATGGAACCACCAGATCTGATCATTATAATAATAATAATACAATAGTATATAGTAATATTATAATAGTAATATTGCCCAAGTACAAATCCAAATAGTGACTTATTCTCTGCACAGAAGTAGAAGAGTATTTAATTTGACCCTAAATTACCTGATATTAATATATAAAAATCTAATGCTTCTCATAAAAAAATTTCAAATTTAAGTAAAAAGATGGTTAAATATGTAAGCAATCGTAATAACTCTCAGTACATATGTATTAGCAACAGCCATACCATATTGTTGGTACATTATTACTATATATAGTCCTTACAAGCAGAATAGTTCTTTATAAAGTAATTATAATGCATTCCTTGATCGGATTGTGGTCGGTTTAAGTGTAAACCCCTTTCGGGACTCGCGGTTAAATAGAGTCGATCTTGCCATCGAATTTGGCGCTAGAATTATTGTCTAATTATTATAAACGCGTTTGTATTGAAAACTTTCCTGATTAATAGTAGGAGTAACCAATGACGTTGTTGGAAGACGTCCTCAAGATTGTTATAAAACACTCTTTCAACGTGTGGCAACTCGGACATACTATGTATGAACTGCAACTTCACATCATTTGAGAAATGCTATACGAGACTGATTAAATAAAGTAAACTTTTACGTTTTAATATTGTCATGCTGGCTAATATTAAAGAGGAAGTAGATGGACCTTGAGTTAGTAAATAAGTAGTCTTGGTGTTTCCAACTCTTATAGTAATATTTTACCGATTACAATCCTTAGTTATTAGTGTATATCGAATGGGGTATTCCAAATGTAATCCAGACCTCTACAGCGCAGCGTTGCAAGCAGAGACAATTCACAAATAATAATGGCCAGAATTAAGATAATGAGTAGTATTGTTACGGTCGGCGTCCATAATAGTGTTGGGAGAGCAATTAATTGCGTAGGTGTGTTCTGCCGAGAGGGGGTTTTTCACAATTTAGCTCTTGTCGCTGCCCT